AACATACTGTTAAAAATACCGCCATTTTGAGACGTTTCGAGGCTAGGTACTCTGTAATGTGATTTTAATGAATAAAACAAACATTTATTTCCTTATTGCGCATTCTAATCAATCCATTTACAAACCAATAAGTTAAATACTGTAATGGTCATAGACTTATTATATACTACTGCGTAGTTACGTTGTGAATTTAAAAGAACAACTGTTGACAAACGTCACGTTCGTTTAAAAATATGTTTTTTTCTTATACAAGTGAAGTGACAAACGAACATACGGCCTACAGACAGTGTGTGTCAGCTGCAGCCCGTGGACATCGGCATCAAACTTCAGAAGGCTACCGATACGTTGTCACCTCTGAGAACTAAGACTGAATGCTTCCTAGCTTGTCATTAAAGTAAAACCCAGAAGCGAGCAAATTATTCACACCGCGGCTAAAATTTTTTTGTGTAAACTGAAGAATTTACGAGTAGGTGAGGTGACAACTAATTCCATAATAAAGAAAGAAAAAGGGTGACTTACACAGTCCACCTGATGGTAAGTGGATAGAAGATATCTGGATCCATCCTCGGTTAACAATAAGAATGCAGAAGCGATCTCACTTCAAAAAAGTTCGATTTAATAGTTTTTCGAATCGGCAGGTATTACATATTTTGGTCTGTGAATTTTATGTCTCGCGCAAAACAACATGGTAGTACCGCCATCTATCGGAAGCCTTGAGTTATTGCTGGGATATGCATATGAAAATCCGTAGTTGACAATTTATCTACCTAATTTGTACCTACTTTTTAAATTTTCTTCGCCAAATACTCTTGAGTAAAAATTATTCACAGCAAATACAAATCGTCATAAAATAACTAGATCATCATCATCATCATTATCATCATTACAGCACTTCACAAGTCCACTGCTGAACATAGGCCTCCCCCAAGGAATGCCACAAAGCACGGTCCTGAGCCACCTGCATCCATCGACTTCCTGCATGTCTTACCAGGTCGTCACTCCATCTATTGGGGGTCTACCCTACACTTCGCCTACCGGTACGAGGCTGCAACTCGAGAACCTTTTTTCCCCAACGGTTGTCGGTTCTTCGAGCTATATGGCCGGCCCATTGCCACTTCAGCTTACCAATCCGTTGGGCTATGTCGGTCACTCTGGTTCTACTGCGGATATCCTCATTTCTAAGTTTATCATCCAGAGAAACTCCGAGCATAGCCCTCTCCATAGCTCGCTGAGCGACTTTGAGCGTCCTCATACGGCCAGCAGTGAAGGACCACGTCTTGGTTCCGTAGGTCATCACTGGCAACACGCACTGGTTGTACAACTTAGTTTTCAGGTTTTGAGGTATACCTGACGAGAAGATGCGTCGTAATTTCCCGAACGCTGCCCAGCCGAGTTGAATCCGTCGATTGACCTCTCGGTCGAAGTTGGATTTACCTAGTCGGACTATTTGTCCCAGGTAAACGTACTCGTCAACAACTTCGAGCTTAGTGCTCCCAACAACTACCGGCATAGGTGTGACTATAACTAGATATTACTAGTCTAATAAAAATAACTTGAAAACACCTACTATGGAAATGTAGTCGCTAGTTTCAATGCATTCAATACAGTATTTTTATTATTCTTATATTATTAGACTATTGTTATTTAAACCAGTTTCAAACATTTTGAAGATTTCTTTTTACGGATATTATAAAACAAAAAAGTACTTTAAAAAATGTAGAGGCGTTGCTAAAAGTTTTAAAACGTTTTTATTACAATCATCTTTAGACTGCGGAAGTTCTCCGCTGGCCAATGGTCCCTTCCAAACCCTTTTCCAATTTACACCCGAAAGTACAACACTTCAAACATATCCAAAGAATAATTAATATTTTTTATATAAAAACAACATCAAATGATTTACCTAACATGCATAATTTTACCGTCATTATCTATTCCAGTGGTATTATGTAGGCAGATACGAGTACAGACGAGTTGTCTGGCTCCGGCGGAAGGTCGTGTTCAAGGTGAATGCAGTTTACAATTATTCTTTTCACACAAAAACAGCTATTAGTTAGAAATAATCAAAAACGGCAACCAGACGGTAAAATAAATTTTATTTTCTATTTCCGTAATGCGCGTTGCACGTAAAGGTACTTACTTTTTGCTTATTCTAACACTGCTATAAATTGATAGATGTTTTCGATTTAAAGATAACATTTACATTAACAAACTTAATGGTTAAAACATTAATTTTAAAAATAATGACTGCGTTTTTACGCAGTAGTTTACTGAAAAGTGAATAATTATTTTTCACTTTAAAAGGAAATGCGGCCCGAGAGAATTTTGAAAATTAAGTATTTGAAGAAACTATCGCCGTCGCTTCACTATACACATATCACGGTATTGAATTTTTTTCCGCCAAAACGTTATCCAAATTCTGGAAAAGTAGAAGTCTGTAAACGCAAGGTCCGGTGAGTGCGGCGGATAGCGGAGAGCTCCAAACCCAGTTCATGTAACTTGGAGACAGTCTGTTGTGCAGTATGTGGATGCGCGTTGTTGTGGAGGAGCAGGGACTAATGATTGACCAACGCTGGCTTGGTCAATCATTCGTCTTCTCCATCATTGTGTTAAGTTCTTCGCAGTATACATCTTGAGGCGCTGAACCTCCAAACAGTGACAGTCAATTTTCTAGAGGTAAGCTTTCGTTTAGGACATTGTTTAGGTGCTGAAACAGGATCCCACCAACTTTCTGAGCACTTACGATTGTCAAACAGAATCTATTTTTCATCGCAGTTAACAAAAAAAAACTTTTCATTTTCCTTCCTTCATTCATCCTTCCTTCATTTGTGTGCTTGTCAAGGCACGTGCAAGTGCAAGTGCAAGTGCAAGTGCAAGTGCAAGTGCAAGTGCAAGTGCAAGGCACGTCTCGACGCGCACTTCGCGCTGGCGATGATCGAATCCGTGGGGCACCCATTTGTCAAGCTTTTTTACCTTGCCAATTTGACGCCAAATTGATGTCAAATTGGTGTTTTGTAGCTAACGTCGAAAGCTGCCGTAGATTGAGTATCATCAGCTTCCACAGTCGCCATTAATTCGTCATTGTCGATGAAATTTTTCGGACAACCACGGGGTTTGTTTTTCAGGTCTTAATTTGCAGAATAGAAGCGAGCAAACCAGTGACAGGTAGTGTATATGTTTGTAGTATTCGCTTCGTAAACGTCGCTGATGTTGCGTACCGCTTGTGCCGCGTTGCTGCCACGACGTTACTCATATTCCATAATTACTCGAATTTTTAACGTATCCATGATGACGAAAAAGATTCAAATGCCATGAAAACATACTTATCAATAATCAAATTACCAATTTCAAAAAAGAGTTCCATGTATTTAAAATAAAATTAATTTGAAATTAGAAATCTCGGGCAAACAAAAATTATTTTGATTTGAAATGACCAATAATGTAGAACGGCAATTTCATAGGTAAAGATCTATTATTTAAATAAAATATACGTATTTATGTAGTTGTCCCTAAGAATCTGCCAAAAGAAAGATTCAGGTACGTAGATATCCTTCCGATAGAAACTAATTATTAAAATATAAAACATATGTATTACCATTAAACATTTTCATAAGTACTACTATACTTTTTCTACTACGAAAACAGGGGATGTCATTTGTTGTTCAAGAATCAAAATAATCATTATTGAGTACCTATTGACATTTGCTTAGTTTTCGTAATATTATATTTAGTTTCAAAGCAATGTTTTATTTTTACCTTAACTTTTTAACAATTTAAATGAAATGAAAATCTCTTGAATGAAATTTTCTCCTCTATCCCGAAGGCAGTTTAAATATCTAAATTGTACAAGGACAAACATCCCGACCATAAACACTTATTTGTGGACGAAACAAACACTTGGCTTCAGTTCTGCTCAATGCTAAGCAGTAATAAACTACTAAGTGGTAATAATGCGACTAAAAAGAAAAAAACCTAAAAACAGATCTCATGTAATGAGTTTAATAAAAATTTAAACCAAACATTTTAGCACTAAAATTTTGCACAGATTCGAGCTGAACGAACCATATAGAGCGAGCGCATATTATAACGAATATTTTACACTTTGATTAGTAATGTAGTAATTAAGAAAACAATTACGAGTAAGCTGAAGCGGCAATGGGCCGTCCGACCAAATAGCTCGAAGAACTTAACAATCGATGGATACGAAAAGTTCTCGAGTGGCTATCTCTTATCTGTAAGCCAAGTGTAGGACGTCACTCCATTAGATGGAGTAACGACCTGACGCAGGAATTCGGTGGACGCAAGTTTCATTTTGTTGACAAACCACACACAACCATGGTAAGTGGATGCTATGGCCCACAGACATCTACATTTATCATCAATTAAGAATCTAAATGCAGATGCGTTGTCACCCCTGAGGAAAACTCCGGTATTCTACATTCCCCATACGAAACACCCCGGTCGAGCCGACCCATTCGTACTACAACTATACTATAGCTGCAGCGTGGCGCTACCACTTTAAAGCAGCAACCTTCGATCAAGCAGCAACACAGCAGGTGGCCTGTGCTCGGCAGTAGAAATGTAAAGGTGAATAATGATGATGATCAATAAATAAACAGTTTAAGATGTATGTTTAATATAGTAATAGAAATTAATATGTTACAGAATATTTATTTTTAAATTTAGGAACTTATCTTTAAATACAACAGCCTGGACTCAAACAACTAAGTTTTTTTTTTAAAAGAATATTAACAATGCTATAAACATTACTAATATTCCCCTTAACCACTCGTGGTAAGCTTAAACTGCTTGTGTTACGAGTGGTTCACGCCAGTAGTCGAATGGCGGATTCGAACCCACGACCTTTTTGAGTTCGCGGTCCTCGCCCTGCCATTAGGCTACTGTCGCTTATTTTATTCATTTTTGTTCATTGAGTTATAGAAAACGTGTACTATACGTGTGATATATAAATCAATGACTCAGCTACAACAACTACACAAAGTCTACACAGCCCGAGCCGGAGCCTCAGAGCCTGAATTTATTAAGTGTTGTTTTTCCAAGTCTTTCAATTTTGATTCTAATGAAGTTATTTTTTTACGCAAATAACTGGTTTTCTCTCTTAAATTTTTAATCTGTCTATTTTTGTGTATAACTTTTTCACGTAGTTCTATTATTCTTCTACAAAGGCGTTTTGTAATCGGTGTGTTGTAGTTAGAAGGACTTTCGGAACATATACTTTTTCTTTTAGATGCTGCTGAGAGAGTCCAAATATTCGAGGAAGAAACAGATGGACCTGGATTGTCTGGAATGTTTTTTGGTTCACCGTTGTTTGTCTGAAAATGAAATTAAATAAGGTATTACTTTTTATCTGACCGAATCATACTAATAATAAGTATCTTGAGATTTTCGGGTTTCAAAACTCTACAACCATCTTTGAATGCAAACAGAGGTTAGTTTAGTTTTTACACAAAAAAAGAATTTTCCAAATCGATCCAGACGTCTTCTGTCAGTAAAAATCACGCCTATGAAGTCCTGAATTTCTTAGTAGTACAGACACACAGTACCTGTCAATGTCATACTTTATGGGCATGCACTAATTAGGTCGGCATGCCCATAAAGTATGACATTGACAGGTACTGTGTGTCTGTACTACTAAGAAATTCAGGACTTCATAGGCGTTTATCATATTCATAGGCATTATCCTTCATTACTATTTACTATTGAAAGATAATTTGCAATTTTTGCCTATTTTTTTTCTACAGATTGTCACAACCTTATTACTGTATTTTGAATTTTCCTCACCAATATAGGTAAACACAACGTCGGTACTGCGGAGCTGAGCAAACGTCTACTATTTTTCATGTTAATAAAACAATCCTCTTCGAAATGTCGTGAGCAAATCACGCTGTATACTGACGGAAACCAATTTTCGCGTCTCGTAGCATTTATCCACTTTTCTTTTAAATTTGGATGTTTTGGAAATCTAAATAAAATTTGATACACTTTCAATTTATTCAAATATGGATTAACATTTATTCATTAAAACATTCAGCTTAGACCTATGTTGTTTATATATAAGTCTGTAAAACATTCACGAATACATGCATAATATTTACTTATACCAATATTATAGTATAACTGGTACAACACTAGTTACACGTGCCGGTTATTAAAGAATGTATAGCAACAATGAACTGCATTGAAAAGAAAGGGACGCATAGTCCGAAAATGTCCGAATAAATTACCGCGAGTTGCTATGCGACAAACATAGGTTGAGCACTGATTTAATTATTTATAAGTTTGGAAATTAAAATTCACTTACCTATGAAAAGTGATGCCATTTTTTTTTAAATTACACGTTTGACTACTATTTCCGCACCATTTTATTGTACAGGGAGCCATATTACGCGTCTGTTGTATTTTATTTTGTCGAAAATTCAAGAGTCACAAGCAAGATGTTCACGGGTTAGGGATGTGGTCGCTACTAAAATGGATCGCCCGACCGTTTTCTTAAGTAAGACGTGTTTGTCTAACGTGTTGACAGAAAGCGTTCACCTTGCCGCCCCCCCCCCCCCCTTTCATGAGGCGTCTATTCGGGCTGTGTAGTCGTTGCTCAGCTACTTATAATATTTGAAAGATCGTTGTAATGCTGCGGCTACACTAACGAGCAACGTCAATGCCCATAAACGCAACAATTATTGTCTTAAATTTAACGCGATAAAATGAGTGGCTACACTTGAACGGTCAACGTCGTTTCAATTTCAACGCCGTTGAACGGCATTAAATTTGCCGTTAAACGGCGTTAAATGTTTTTATTTAATGTTCCTCAAATTTCATGCAAGATGGACGTTGACGCAGCTACTCCATATTTGATGAGTGTAAATTTTCATTATATGAATATAATTTATCATTGCCAAGCTTTTCGTGACAGATCCATGCTGCAGTTATATTAGTAGTATAGTTGTGGCACGAACGGATCGGCTCGACCGGGGAAGGACCACGCTCTCGCAGAATAAAATAGTAGCTTAATGCTGCTGTGTTTCGTATGGTGAGTGTAGAGAACAGGAGACTCTTTTTACTGGAAACGAGGCATTCTATCCTAGTCCTCACGGGTGACAACGCATCTGCATTTTGATTCGTAATTGAGGATAAATGTAGATGTCTATGAGCCACAGCAACCACTTACCATCAGGTGGACTGTATGCTCGTTTGTCACCCTATCCTATGAAATAAAAAAAATAAACGAAGAAAAAAAGAATACAAAGAAAAAGAAGATGGTGGTTGCTACAAATACACAGTAAACGTACACTGTAAATCTATTTATGTTTTATTTTGTTTTCCCGCACCCAAATTGCACTAGAAAGACGTTCAATGGTTTATGCTAAATAATAAGACAAACGTAAATATATTTTAATGAAACAATAACTAATAAGCCAATCATAAATACTGGTCAAGTACGAATTAGATACACGTACCCAGGGTTTCGTACCACTACTACACGACACACACACTATGAATTTCGACCTTCAAAAATTGTTTTTTTTTCTCCTGTTTATTTTCCTTAGTTTCATACCGTAAATTAAAGTACTTTTGAAGTAATTTTTTTAATTCAATCTCGAAAAGCTTTTTCAATACTCCACTCCACCGCAGCCACGTGCAACCCCGTGGCACTCACCGTGCACAATGAGACAAACGTAGTGTGGCCGCTTCAACGCGATAATTCACGCGTTAATCCTTTGATGTACAGCCACTCGAGTTATCGCCAAACAGGAAACGGCATTGTTAATGCTGTTGTCAAATTATCGCATTAATTCATGGCTACAACTACATTCAAAGTCCATCAACGCGATAATTAACGGCATTTCTCCTTAGTGTAGCCGCAGCATAAGATAAGGAGGCAAGGCTGACATGGCAAACATTCTGTCCCAGCAAAGTTTTCCACTTGAAGTGAAAGAACAGAAATAGCAGGATATATCCGTTGGTACGGAATGAGGAGAAAAATTCGTTTCATTATTTCCATATTGATCAAGATCAGGCCAGTCTTATACTCTTCTAGCTGTTTCGACCAAGGAATCTAGTCACTGGTTACACGCTTTGCCATCAAGTAATCTCGGCACATTACTTGATGGTGAAATCTTGCGAGTTAGGGCTCCACGGACTGCATGTAAGAAAAGTGTTAAGAAATTTTTTAAACACGATTATGGTGATAAAAATTTTAGGATAATTGTAGTCTTTTTTAGATAAGAGAAGTTTATAATATTGCAAAAAATATTGTGCACATGTTTAATGCTTCCTATCTAAATAAATATTTATACGCAAATCCATTAAAAATAAAATGTATGGACACGAAAACAAAAGCAAAAGCAGAATAAGGTCGCACAGATTAAAAAAACAAAAGTGATATACATTATGTACTTAGACACTCGGAACGAGCACAAACTATTATAGCTCAACTTGTACATAATTTGGAAGAAATTAATTGTTTGTATTTTTATTGAAGAATATTAATGACTTACTAATATAATATTTAACATGCGAATCGGTATACAACAGAACAAGCCAAATGTTACCACCGATTTATAATACGTATAGGTACATCGTTTTAAGTATTACTCATTCGCGGAATACATTAAGAATAGTAGGTTATATTATCACTTCCGCCCGCATGTGGTTAACACTTGCGTTTAATATTTCTTTAGCAGCTTATACTTCACACGTTACAGTAAATGTTTATAGAAAAAATGCTACAATACCGACTGAAGATAATAGTATGTTATTAGGACATGTTTTTTTTATAAATTAAGAAACTCAGTCTAAGAAGAACATCCCCCCCGAACGGGTTCCCGCCTTGTCGTGGCGGGGGGGCTTAGAAGCCGTGGCTTGGTCACCCACGGCGAAACGAAGAGGAACCCATATGGCTGGTCCAAGGTGGAGGGCCGGCCCGAGGTGGCCACTCCGAGTGGGCTTGGGAAGCCCACTTCGGATGTGTGTTGGTGGACTGCGGTGAGAGGTGTGTCCTCACCACCTACCGCTGCAGCCGAGGTGGAGTCGCGGAGGAAGAGGAGTGTTGGTATGGCGATGCGCCACTCGCCCTATCCTCCGCGACTCAAACGGGGCCGCACCGTTGATGCGGTGGTGATGGGGCTGCGGGGGGAGAGGATTGTCGGTATTGCGAGGCGCCGCTCTCCCTATCCTCCGCAGCCGAATCTTGGTTGGCGGCGGAGCCATAGACCAGATCCGCCGCTGGGGTCGGGAAGGCTAGTACTTCTAAGTGCTCGTTTTTCCCGGCCCCATGGCCTTCGCGCATCGGACGCGGGGGCGTCTGTTGCGCAGATGTAATTGGAGGCCGTGGAGGAAGGCGTGCCATGTGTTCTGGTGCGCCTTACTTGGGAAGGAGAACGGGGAGGAATATTCCTCTTCCATGGGGCGGCAGTCGCTGGTGGGGCCGCGGAAGTGTACGAAAGCGTTCCCGTAGCCCTGCCAATATGCGACGAAGGTGGAACACCATGGGGTTTTAGTCGGTGCGAGTCCGACATAACCCGTCCTTGCCCCCGCGAGGCGGGTATGCGTAGGCATTTCCCCATGTTAAAAAAAAAAGAAAAAGTCTAAGAAGAACATTACAATGTGACATTTCGTCGTGACTAGTAGTCGAGTCTATCTGTTCTATGAAAAAATAAATTTTTATCTCACATAGATAATCTTGACAAATTAACATACCTACAGACTTGGTTGGACATAACACGAAGGTTTGGAACCCAGTGGTGTGCGAACAGAATGAATTGCCTCAACCCTCAACACAGCGTATGTGTTGTCACGTAAAAAAAAGTAAAGTAAAGTTACAGCCTATATACGTCCCACTGCTGGGCTCAGGGCTCCCCTCATTTCTGAGAGGGTTTAGGGCAAAAAAGTGTCCGCCGCGCTGCCCAAAAGCGTGTTGACGAACTTCACATGTCTTCGAAATATTTTTTTTTCTTATTCTTCAGACATGCAGATTTCCTCACGATGTTTTCCTTCACCGCCGAGCACGTGGTAAATCAGCAATTGTTGTCACGTAATAACTATTAATCATGTAAACCGACTTTTAAATCAAATAATCTACTAACTGTTCCCTGCATATACATCTACGAAACAGCTAAATTTGTTAAATACCACAGTCATCTCTTCACCGCTAACGACAATACATTTAAACGAAAAATTAACCACGTGCCATTAAAAATGCCTGCGCCTAAGCTAGAACTGTTTTAAAAAAACTGTGCTTATATGGCCACCTCTAATATATAACTCTTTGCCCAAAGGAATGACTGACCTGCCATATAAAAGGTTCTGTTGTGCCTTGCGAAAATGGTTAATCCAGGAGAGTTTCTATACTATTAAAGACTTTTTGAATAATAGCACTTGCCGATTTGGTGCCCACTAAGATATCAGATCTTTCTTTTTATTTCTTGTATCTTAGTCTATTATAATAATTCAATAATTTATATAATTGTAATCATGTAATTCAAATAACTGAATTTTAAAAGATTGTTATAATTGCAATTAAAATATTTCTTATGAATTGTTATTCAAATAGTTCTAATGATTGTAATTGTAATTTTGCATGCCCGTAATGAGGGTGAAATATGTCCTGTGCTATAAGTTACTTTAACATCTTGTGTACCAACCATATTTCTTGCAAATAAATGATTTATGATTATGATTATGATTATAAGTATTCTATGGTGTTGTTTTATAGAAGCATACATAACTATTATATAGAATTCGGCTGCCCAAAAGCTTCTATAGTACAACTTCGAACAACTCTTGGCATAAAAAAGCATTTGGGAACACGTCACAATGACATGTGGCCTCTAACAGGCAAATGTGAATTTATTCCGGCCGATATCAGTATTTATTCACAGTTTTTGTACTTACTGTAACCCAGTTCGAGAGGTTACAGTAGGCACTCGTTCTTATCGAGGAAGATGTTAAGGTCATGTTTCTAAGCCCGCTGGTAACGATGAACCGGCCATCTCTGGGCACAGTTTTCTGTTTACGTCCGTGTCCTGCGAGTTTCGTGTACCGTCCGGTTTGCCGATACCTCTTGACAACCCAGTGTACCACATACTAGTAACGTTTGGGCCACATGTTTGTAGGTATGCCCAGCTACAATCAAAGTAACAGCCCTAGCAAATTGAGTGGCATTTAAATCTGGCATTCTCAGTTTATTTGCATTAACAATTCACACTAAACACGATAAACAAGGCAGTCAAGGCAAAAATTTAAACTAAACCTAAACCTAAATAAACTCAAATTAAAAAGTTGGTAAAATTTTGCACAGGTCTCTGACCAACCAACCAGCTGTTTTTCTGATCGTATCCATAGAGACCCCAGTGGACCTAGCAGCTGAGGTTACAGCATGGCGC